GTACGTATTTTCGTATGGATGAATTTGTATGCAAAAAAAAAAATATATATATATATAATCATTGGTATTCATATAATCTTTATGTATGTGTATCCACATAGTCTTTCTTTAATTAACCAATTTCCTTCTCACGTCATGCTTACCTCTATTTCCATGCACTTTAAATGTTCTTTTATGAAGAGGAATCTTTTATTCACCGATTTCCGAAGAGCTTTCACTAACCTATTCCCACACATACATAACCGCATCCTGACTTCTGACTTACTTTCTTTATACCCCTGATCTTGTAACTCTAGTTAATCTGTCTTCTTGCTAATTACGGTCTTGCCTTAAGGTCAAAATGACTTACAGCATTTTGTCAATATCTTCTGTTAAACACAGGAAATTCGCTTATTAAGTGAGATATTTTCTCTTACATATACTCTATGACTTCGACATCACACGTGTGTATTTACAAATGTGCGTGTATGTATGTGTTCATAGATACCCATGTCTTTTAAAACACACCCTAATCCACAAATTTACCTATGGAATAAGAGGAATTTACTTGTCATAGACATATAAATGAATATATAGAAAATGTGTATATATGTGTGTGTGTATGTGTGTGTACATTCATTTATATACATACATACATATATATTCATATGTATTTGAATACACATAGATACGTATATATATAAATGTATGTATACATATATATAATATATATTCACATATGCATTATACATGTATTATATATATATATATATATATATATATATATATATATATATATATATATATATATATATGAGAATAGGAAAACAGTCACAATAAGAAATGAAACTCTTCACGAGATCCTCATCAGATGAATAATCAACCGAAATTTCGATTAATTATCCTGATAATATCTGATACTGTGATATACCTGTGCGTGTGCGCGCGCGTTTGTGTGTGTGTGTGTGTGTGCGCGTGTGCGCATTATATATATATATGTGTATATATATTATAAAAAAAACATCTGGAAAGTAGCGCTTCACACTTCTGTGATGGTTGAACAAAGGCTGCGGCTTCCTGTCGCAGCCCTCCCTTTGTTTAGCCAGGGACAAATGTGTGGAGCGCCACCTTCCAGGTGTGTGTGTGTGACTACACACACACAGACATATATATATACATCATTTATATATATGTCATATATATGTGTGTGTGTGTCTGTATATATATGTATGTGTATATATACATATGTATTTGTACATATATGTGTGCCCACACGGATATATATATATATATATATATATATATATATACATATATATATATATATATATATATATACATATATATATATATATATATATATATATATATATATATATATACATACATATACATACATACATACATATATATATATATATATATATATATACATTATATATATACATTATATATATATATATATATATATATATATATACATATATATATTATATATATATATATATATATATATATATATTATATATATATATGTATTATATATATATATATATATATATATGTACATATATATATTATATATATGTATATATATATATATATATATATATATATATATATATATATAAATTATATATATACATTATATATGTGTATATATATATATATATATATATATATATATATATATATATGTAAATTATATATGTATATACATTATATATATAGATATATTATATACATACATTATATATATATATACATAAATTATATATATATACATTATATATATATACACAAATTATATATATACATTATATATTCATAAATTATATACATATATATGCATAAATTATATATATAAATATACATACATATGTATATATATAAATATATATATATACATACATATATATATATATATATATATATATATATATATATATATATGAATATAAATAAATATGCATATGAACAGCATTCATGTTGACAAATGTAGAATAGGTATGAATGAGAATGAATATCTTCACTATAGAAGAGATATATTTGACCGGTTTCGATTATGTCATCGTCAGAAATACATGTATTTCTAACGAAGACATAATCGAAACCGGTCAAATACATCTCTTGTATTGTAAAGATATTCATTCTCATTCCTACCTTTTCTAGAAATATACATATATATGAATATATATAAAATATATATATATATATGTGTGTGTATCTATTTATCTATCAAAGGTGTGTGTATCTATTTATCTATTTATATCTCTTTCCATATGTATATATGTGGGTGTGTACTTATGTGTGTGTCTTTATTTGTGTGTGTTTTGTAATTGATATCATTATTATCATTATTATAAGAAAAAAACTACAATAATGACAATAACTATCAACAATATCAGTAATATTAGAAATTGATACTGAAATTAATAATAATAATGATAATAGTAAAAAGGTGATAATAACAATAATTACAATAAGAGGAGAAAAAGGAGTAGAATAAGAATGATAATGATAAAGATAATAATACTAATAACAAAAATATCAACAATAGTAGTAATGATAATATTAACAATAGTAATGATAATGGTGATAGTAAAGAAGATATAGGTAACAATGATATGCTAATAATTACAATAATCCATTTGATATTTTGCAAAAGTAATTCAGAAGTTTAAATTACCTTCACTACCACCATCATCTTCATCTACATAGCTAGAATAACAATGAACACAATGATGGTGGTGATAAACACATCGATAGAGGTAATTATAAGTAATTGTAACGACTTTGTCTACAATGGAAAAAAAATAAATAAAAAATAAAAAGGCGACTAATCTTATTATTCTGGCCTGGATGACGATAGGATATGGTTAGGGTCTTTGAAGAGGTTAAAGAAGTATATCAAAACCGACTTTCATGCAACTTAAAACGCTTCCAACCGAATTCCGTAGGTCTGAAGAATGGAGCTTACGCAAGGGAGCCACTAACGAGCCCCGAAGTGAGTGGAAGGAACTGCAGGGGAGCGGAGCAAGGTCTACATTCATGATCGGAGAAGTATAAAAGTCGACGGATATCTAGTGTGGTCAGTATTCCTTATCATGCTCTTCTTAGTAAGTTTTGTCGGAGTACAATGCTCCTCCTATGATCTGATTGTATGAAAGTGTAAACTCTCATATTACATATACATGCATGCACACACACACACATCTGTGTGTATGTGTTTAGCTGTGTATGTATACATAAACAGATAATAATGATTATAGTCTTTTACATAACTATATATCTCATAACGCAAAATCAGATTTATTAAAATTATGAATATACTGTAAATACTACAGCACACATAACATCTTTTATTAATGGTTAATTTATATGTAAAAACTATCCTTTCAGGCTTTATTTCCATTAGCAGCTGTGGCTTTTGCATCGCCTCAGGGCTACAACCTGGGTACACCTTCTGGAGGTGGACTCTCACATGGAGAATCTATAAATGGTGGAACAGATGGAATTGGTGATGGTGGAGCAGGTGGCATTGGAAATGGTGGAACGGGTGGAGTTGGTGGCCCTGTAGGCGGTTGTCAGGATGGCCAAATTCTTCACGTGGATGGATCTTGTGTGACTCCCGTTATCACCAGAAAAGTGTACTTATATGATGCTCCTGAAGTGCCCAAGGGCCCAGGTGGTCCTCCTCCGAGTGTGCCACCACCTAAAGTAGAACATAACATCCTGTTCGTACGTGTTCCTGAGGCTGCTCCACCACCTGAACCCATCATTGTTCCTCCAGCAAGGCAAGAAAACATTGTCTATGTTCTGAATAAGCAGGAAGAGCAAAGTCAACAGGTGATCGAGGTTACACCTCATCCAGCTTCCGACCCAGAAATCTATTTCGTGAACTACCAAGAAGGAGAAAACCCAACCCTTCCTCTTGGAGTAGATCTTGAGACTGCTCTCAGCGTTGCCAGTGCAGCTGGCGGTGACGTGATCGGAGATGGCGTAGCGGCTATTGGTGTTGGTGCCGGAGGATTAGGCGACGGTGCTGGAGCCGGAGGTATTGGAGGCGGCTTTGGAGAGAATGGAGGATTCGGAGGAGCCGGTGCCGGAGGAAATGGAGGATTTGGAGGAGCTGGAGTAGGAGGCAATGGAGGATTCGGAGGAGCCGGTGCCGGAGGAAATGGAGGAATTGGAGGAGCTGGAGTAGGAGGCAATGGAGGATTCGGAAGTGGCTTTGGAGGAGTGAATGGAGGAAGTGGCGGCTTCGGAGGCAATGGCGGCAGTCCGTCAAACTTGTACACCAGCCCTTAAGATATTAGGGTTTGTGTAAATTAAGATATGCCTGCAGTTATTATTTGTTAAACCTGATTATATTCAATAAATATAAAATTATATATTTCAGAATTTTTTATTATCAACTTACAAATCTTATGCTCTCATAAAAAAAAAATATATATCTTTTCCACTCTGAACATGATGCACATTGGATGAAACGACTTTATTTGGTTGGGACCTAAAGAAAAAAAAAAAAATGCACTTCATAATTTGATGTACACGGATTAAACATGGCATTTGCACAGGGAAACTACATATTAGTTTTGTCTGCATGCTGTTATATAATTACAAATACCTAAAGATCAGTCCATTCGTTTTGCTATTTATTGACCCTCTATATGTTAATTTGTATCCCTCTTTCTAATTGTATGTGTAATCGTATGTTTGTTGCTTTGAGTGTGTCTGTGGAAAGTTCATAAAAATGTAAATGTTTTGCTAAACATATCTTTGTATATTCATATCCTCTTCATCATTTATTCCTCATTGCTTGAATGTGTACAAATTCTATCTTTACATATATACATACACATATATGCATATACATGAATGTGTATATACATATATATGGAAGCACATACATATGTGTATAAATGTGTGTACATATATGTGTATCTATACAAATATATATGTATGTATGTGCGTCTGTTATTGTGTATATATAATATATATGTATAAATTTGTGTATTCATTTATGCATAAAGACAAGAAATATATATCTATATATCTACATCTATATCTATATATATATATATTCATATATGTATATGTGTATGTATAAAATGTATTTCCGTGCATAAGTGCGCACGCGTACTCATTCAGATATATACTGATATGCATACATATAAACATATATATATATATATATATATATATATATATATATATATATATCAGTTATATGTATGTATGTCAGTTATATGTGTATGAGTGCGCGTGCGCCCTTATGAACGGAAACACATTATATATATATATATATATATATATATATATATATATATATATATATGTATAAGCACACATATATTTACACACACGTACACACACACACACTTATGTACATATATAAAAAGCACGAAGAGGCATTTTAACACGGCCGTGAAGAATTTCATTTTCATTTATTTTGCAAACGTTTCGAACGATCAGAAGTCTTCTTTCTCAATGCTGTAAGCGGAAACCAGATAATATGGTCGTTAGACAATTCAAGTATGCATATATAGTTCTGGGTTTTATACAAAATACGTGATTAACCAAAGTAAACACAATTATTAAAGTAAATGGAACAAGTAGTCTAATGGGTGAACAAGCTAGATGGGGTTATTCAGCTTATCTGAATTCCAAGCACCCAAGTATAAAATTTACTTGTGAAATGCGAAAGAACAACCAACTATCATTTTTAAATACCATGGTTACCAATAACAATAGCATCTTTATTACTAGTATTTACCGTAAACCACCATTCACTGGCCTAGCCCTACAATTCCTCAGTATTACCCCGTATATTTACAAAATTAACAGTGTTAAGATACTAGGTTTATCAAATTTTGTTATTATTTTTGTAATTAGTTTCCTTCACTTTGAATGAATGTATAATGTGTATAAGTAAATAAGTATCGAATTGTGAATCTTAGAAATGTCCATTGTCATTATGTAACAGAGCAATGTTCTCTTTAAAAGATCCGTGATTTTTTACCAGAATCCACATGTGGTCTTACAGACAGAATTCACAAGTGCAGTACGTTGTGTACATCCATCAGAACTGCTTACAAATTTCGATAATAAAGGACACAATTTATCGGTCACATTTATCAATCTGTCTATATCTAATTATTCATTTGTACATATAAAATTATAGATATCAGTCTAGCTATATCGCTAAGTATCTATTTTTTTTCTCTCTCTCTATCGCTATGTGTGTGTATGTGTGAATGTGTTTGTAAGATAAAATCATAGAAAGATCATCTTCCATACTCTTTGAGTAGTCATTAAATATTCAGTCACGGAAACATTTTCTTTTTCGCATGTGGTGTTTTTTGGTTGTTTGTTTGTTTCTTGTTATTTAATCTCCCGTTCTTGATATATATATATATATATATATATATATATATATATCAGTTATATGTATGTATGTCAGTTATATGTGTATGAGTGCGCGTGCGCCCTTATGAACGGAAACACATTATATATATATATATATAATATATATATATATGTATAAGCACACATATATTTACACACACGTACATACACACACTTATGTACATATATAAAAAGCACGAAGAGGCATTTTAACACGGCCGTGAAGAATTTCATTTTTATTTATTTTGCAAACGTTTCGAACGATCAGAAGTCTTCCTCAATGCTGTAAGCGGAAACCAGATAATATGGTCGTTAGACAATTCAAGTATGCATATATAGTTCTGGGTTTTATACAAAATACGTGATTAACCAAAGTAAACACAACTATTAAAGTAAATGGAACAATTAGTCTAATTGGTGAACAAGCTAGATGGGGTTATTCAGCTTATCTGAATTCCAAGCACCCAAGTATAAAATTTACTTGTGAAATGCGAAAGAACAACCAACTATCATTTTTAAATACCATGGTTACCAATAACAATAGCATATTTATTACTAGTATTTACCGTAAACCACCATTCACTGGCCTAGCCCTACAATTCCTCAGTATTACCCCGTATATTTACAAAATTAACAGTGTTAAGATACTAGGTTTATTAAATTTTGTTATTATTTTTGTAATTATTTTCCTTCACTTTGAGTGAATGTATAATGTGTATAAGTAAATAAATATCGAATTGTGAATCTTAGAAATGTCCATTGTCATTATGTAACAGAGCAATGTTCTCATTAAAAGATCCGTGATTTTTTACCAGAATCCACATGTGGTCTTACAGACAGAATTCACAAGTGCAGTACGTTGTGTACATCCATCAGAACTGCTTACAAATTTCGATAATAAAGGACACAATTTATCGGTCACATTTATCAATCTGTCTATATCTAATTATTCATTTGTACATATAGAATTATAGATATCAGTCTAGCTATATCGCTAAGTATCTATTTTTTTCTCTCTCTCTATCGCTGTGTGTGTATGTGTGAATGTGTTTGTAAGATAAAATCATAGAAAGATCATCTTCCATACTCTTTGAGTAGTCATTAAATATTCAGTCACGGAAACATTTTCTTTTTCGCATGTGGTCTTTTTTGGTTGTTTGTTTGTTTCTTGTTATTTAATCTCCCGTTCTTGAAAGTATCCATTTCTGTAACTGAATACCAAAATAACAATTCTTGATTTTATTACAGTAATCGATTCCAAGTATATATCTCAGTATCCTGACTTCTGCTTCGTCTTACTTCCTGAAGTATACTTTTTCAACTCCCTTGAAATAATTACTTTTCCATCGAGTATCTTGTTCCTCACTTGTTGGTCATTTAACTTTCGACATACCATTTTTCCAATAGTTTCTCCCTGATGATCATAATAATGGCTTAACCTTCATTCTCTTAAATATTTTAAGTGTTTGATATCACATGTTTCACATGTATTCTTGTATGTATTTATACACACAAACTATCACACCAATTTAATAAAAATTCTGTTCAGGCTTTTTCGAAATTATATAAATAAATGTGCATATATAGACATATATATATATACATATGTAAATACTTTTACATATGTATATATATGTATATCATAAATTCATCTGCACGCGCATGTGTGCATTTTTAAAGGTTATACAAGTGCCCGGATGACATGCAAACTAAAGTGGATGAGACTAGCGTCAGGGGAGAGGCAGGAGCTTCACACATGAGCCTGTGAGTGAAGGTGTATATAAAGAGCCGGACAACTATAGTGGGGTATCACTATCAACCATGCTGTTGTTGGTAAGTCTCATTTTAGATACCATTTACGGACTGTGTCCGTAAATGGTATCTTACGGATACATAAATATGTATATATGTATATATGTTACTTATATATTATATATTTAATATATATTATATGTATATCTATTTATATATATAATGCATGGATGTATTCATGAATAATATATTTCTAATTATCGACTGTAGTTCTCCAGTGCTTCAAGCATATCGATTCCGGTCCCTGGGTCGAATCCTCGCCATATACATATACAATATATATCATATATATAATATATAATATATAGTATATAAACATTCATTTTATATTTGTAATTATATATATATATATATATATATATTTTTTTTCGATTTGCGAAGCAGAGCCTCGCCCGGGCTATGCCTATGAAGGGACCCGGTTGCTTATATATAATGTTACAAGTTATGCTTTCTTTTCAGACCCTGCTTCCATTAGTAGCTGTGGCTTTTGCAGCGCCCCAGGGCTACAATCTGGGTGCACCTTCTGGAGGTGGACTCTCACATGGAGGATCTGTAAATGGTGGTGCAGGTGGAATTGGAGATGGTGGACCAGGTGGAATAGATGGTAGTGGCCCAGTAGGTGGCTGTCAGGATGGTCAAATACTACACGTTGACGGATCTTGTGTAACTCCTATTATCACTAGAAAAGTTTACTTATATGATGCTCCTGAAGTGCCTGAAGGCCCAGGCGGTCCACCACCAAGCGTACCACCACCTAAGGTAGAACACAACATCCTGTTCGTACGTGTTCCTGAAGCTGCTCCACCACCTGAACCCATCATTGTTCCTCCAGCAAGGCAAGAAAACGTGGTCTATGTTCTGAATAAGCAGGAAGAGCAAAGTCAACAGGTGATCGAGGTTACACCTCATCCAGCTTCCGACCCAGAAATCTATTTCGTGAACTACCAAGAAGGAGAAAACCCAACCCTTCCTCTTGGAGTAGATCTTGAGACTGCTCTCAGCGTTGCCAGTGCAGCTGGCGGTGACGTGATCGGAGATAGCGGAGCGGCTGTTGGTGTTGGTGCCGGAGGATTAGGCGACGGTGCTGGAGCCGGAGGTATTGGAGGCGGCTTTGGAGGCAATAGAGGATTCGGCGGAGCCGGTGCTGGAGGAAATGGAGGATTTGGAGGAGCTGGAGTAGGAGGCAGTGGAGGATTCGGAGGTGGTTTAGGAGGAGTGACTGTAGGAAATAGCGGCAGTCCATCAAACTTGTACACGAGCCCTTAAAATACTAAGATTTCTTTGAATTGTTGTAAAATGCCTTCAGTTTCCGAGGTTTGTTGATTCTAGTATGTGTATAACACAAAACAAATAAATGAAATTAAGATAGTAAATCTCAGATTTTTTATCATTTTACATTACCAATGCCCTCATGCTTGCGATAGTTCCCTTCTCCGTTTTTCAGCACTCTGTAAAGACCATTTTCATAACATTTCCGAAACCCCTAACATTTTCATACACTCTGATACATGTTTGGCATTTAAGCGTACATTATTGGAAACATGTTGAAGTATATGCCTTCAACTTGATACAGCTTGATACGGTTTGATACACTCCTGCCAGCCAATCAGAGCGCGATATTTTTCAGATATAACTGACGTAGTCTCAAATAGGGATATATTTGTTTCACCTAATTACGAATATCATCGTAAGTTTCTTAATAAAACTTTATTGTAAAGATGCATAAAATGTCTCTGTGTCTTTTTAACAGTACATCAAATACATGTTCTCTCTGTGTAAGATTTGAAGTCAGTCATGATGGTCGCTGGGAAATGGTAAAAAATTTCTACGTGTCCAAGTCGTATGACGTGGTATTGGCTTCGGTGGGATGAGTGTCTTCAGAAACATTCTGCCGTCTAGTTAACCTTACAAGCTAAAAAAAAAAAAAAAAAATGCCGTTTCTCTTGATTTCTTGATATACTTTAATCATTGTCAACTAAATGTTCGTAATCTGGAATTACCCAATTATCTGATTGGGACACGGAGTTCACACGCAGTGGTACGATGTAAAACCTTATGCATATACTTTTTTATATGAAGAACAATGTCTGTAATAAAAAAAAGACAATCTTAGAAATAAATTTAAACTTAACACAGCCTTGCGAAAGGGTGGAGTGTATTTCATTTTATTTGAACTTCCACAATGTTTTGCTTTTAATTAAAGATCATACCAGCATATGAAGTACTTTAATGGTTTTCTATTGGCTTTTCCTTTTCTCAAAACTTTGTATGTCAGTGCAAACTTCAGTGATATGTTTTGTAGTGACCATGATACAACTTGAAACGATGTTAGGGGTTTCGGGATATTAGAAAGAGGCCTTAAGTTTAACTTGTTTACCTGTATGCATTTAGATGTATAATCTTATGTATGTCGCTACGAATGTCTGTGTGAACAAAAGAAAAATATAATCATTGCTATTCATATAATCTCTGTATCTTTCTACTTTTAGTCATTCTCTATTCCACTGTGCTGGAACCTTAATTTCTTCTGTCGTTTAATTTCCTTCTCGTGACATGTTTAATACTATTCTTATATTCTTAGGTTCTTTTTGTATTATTTCCTTAATTTACCAATTTCAGATTTTATTTAACTAATCGATTTCCACGCGTATTTCCGTATCCTGATGTATGCCTAATTACTAACGTGTACCTTATTTACGCCCAATTAGTTTAGTAATTTAGTAATTTAGCGTCTTGCTACTCACCTTAATTATTGTCTCTTACCTTCCCTTACTGTTTTCTCCCATTAGAATAGGATATTATACATTTTCTCACACACATACTTTATGACTGACATCATAAATGTGTGTTTATAGATGTATGTATTCATGTGAATTTCTCTTTATGTGCATGTAGATATTTGCACATTTACTCACAAATTCATCTATAGAAAGATATTTACTTATCACAGACATAAAAATCTTCATCATCATTATCATTATCATTATCATCATTGTTATTATTATCATTATCATTATCATTATCATTATCATTATCATTATCATTATCATTATCATTATCATTATCATTATCATTATCATTATCATTATCATTATCATTATCATTATCATTATCATTATCATTATCATTATCATTATCATTATCATTATCATTATCATTATCATTATCATTATCATTATCATTATCATTATCATTATCATTATCATTATCATTATCATTATCATTATCATTATCATTATCATTATCATTATCATTATCATTATCATTATCATTATCATTATCATTATCATTATCATTATCATTATCATTATCATTATCATTATCATTATCATTATCATTATCATTATCATTATCATTATCATTATCATTATCATTATCATTATCATTATCATTATCATTATCATTATCATTATCATTATCATTATCATTATCATTATCATTATCATTATCATTATCATTATCATTATCATTATCATTATCATTATCATTATCATTATCATTATCATTATCATTATCATTATCATTATCATTATCATTATCATTATCATTATCATTATCATTATCATTATCATTATCATTATCATTATCATTATCATTATCATTATCATTATCATTATCATTATCATTATCATTATCATTATCATTATCATTATCATTATCATTATCATTATCATTATCATTATCATTATCATTATCATTATCATTATCATTATCATTATCATTATCATTATCATTATCATTATCATTATCATTATCATTATCATTATCATTATCATTATCATTATCATTATCATTATCATTATCATTATCATTATCATTATCATTATCATTATCATTATCATTATCATTATCATTATCATTATCATTATCATTATCATTATCATTATCATTATCATTATCATTATCATTATCATTATCATTATCATTATCATTATCATTATCATTATCATTATCATTATCATTATCATTATCATTATCATTATCATTATCATTATCATTATCATTATCATTATCATTATCATTATCATTATCATTATCATTATCATTATCATTATCATTATCATTATCATTATCATTATCATTATCATTATCATTATCATTATCATTATCATTATCATTATCATTATCATTATCATTATCATTATCATTATCATTATCATTATCATTATCATTATCATTATCATTATCATTATCATTATCATTATCATTATCATTATCATTATCATTATCATTATCATTATCATTATCATTATCATTATCATTATCATTATCATTATCATTATCATTATCATTATCATTATCATTATCATTATCATTATCATTATCATTATCATTATCATTATCATTATCATTATCATTATCATTATCATTATCATTATCATTATCATTATCATTATCATTATCATTATCATTATCATTATCATTATCATTATCATTATCATTATCATTATCATTATCATTATCATTATCATTATCATTATCATTATCATTATCATTATCATTATCATTATCATTATCATTATCATTATCATTATCATTATCATTATCATTATCATTATCATTATCATTATCATTATCATTATCATTATCATTATCATTATCATTATCATTATCATTATCATTATCATTATCATTATCATTATCATTATCATTATCATTATCATTATCATTATCATTATCATTATCATTATCATTATCATTATCATTATCATTATCATTATCATTATCATTATCATTATCATTATCATTATCATTATCATTATCATTATCATTATCATTATCATTATCATTATCATTATCATTATCATTATCATTATCATTATCATTATCATTATCATTATCATTATCATTATCATTATCATTATCATTATCATTATCATTATCATTATCATTATCATTATCATTATCATTATCATTATCATTATCATTATCATTATCATTATCATTATCATTATCATTATCATTATCATTATCATTATCATTATCATTATCATTATCATTATCATTATCATTATCATTATCATTATCATTATCATTATCATTATCATTATCATTATCATTATCATTATCATTATCATTATCATTATCATTATCATTATCATTATCATTATCATTATCATTATCATTATCATTATCATTATCATTATCATTATCATTATCATTATCATTATCATTATCATTATCATTATCATTATCATTATCATTATCATTATCATTATCATTATCATTATCATTATCATTATCATTATCATTATCATTATCATTATCATTATCATTATCATTATCATTATCATTATCATTATCATTATCATTATCATTATCATTATCATTATCATTATCATTATCATTATCATTATCATTATCATTATCATTATCATTATCATTATCATTATCATTATCATTATCATTATCATTATCATTATCATTATCATTATCATTATCATTATCATTATCATTATCATTATCATTATCATTATCATTATCATTATCATTATCATTATCATTATCATTATCATTATCATTATCATTATCATTATCATTATCATTATCATTATCATTATCATTATCATTATCATTATCATTATCAGATTTTGCTTCCATTAGTGGCTGTGGCCTTTGCTTCGCCTCAGGGCTACAATCTGGGTACACCTTCTGGAGGTGGACTCTCACATGGAGGATCTATAAATGGTGTAGCAAGTGGAAATGGAGATAGTGGTGAAGGTGCCACAGGAAATGGTGGAGCTCTTGGAGTTGGCGGTCCTGTAGGCGGTTGTCAGGATGGTCAAATACTACACGTAGATGGATCTTGTGTGACTCCCGTTATCACGAGAAAAGTATACTTATATAATGCTCCTGAAGTGCCCAAGGGCCCAGGCGGTCCTCCTCCGAGTGTGCCACCACCCAAGGTAGAACACAACATCCTGTTCGTACGTGTTCCTGAGGCTGCTCCACCACCTGAACCCATCATTGTTCCTCCAGCAAGGCAAGAAAACATTGTCTATGTTCTGAATAAGCAGGAAGAGCAAAGTCAACAGGTGATCGAGGTTACACCTCATCCAGCTTCCGACCCAGAAATCTATTTCGTGAACTACCAAGAAGGAGAAAACCCAACCCTTCCTCTTGGAGTAGATCTTGAGACTGCTCTCAGCGTTGCCAGTGCAGCTGGCGGTGACGTGATCGGAGATGGCGACGGTGCTGGAGCCGGAGGTATTGGAGGCGGCTTTGGAGAGAATGGAGGATTCGGAGGAGCCGGTGCTGGAGGAAATGGAGGATTTGGAGGAGCTGGAGTAGGAAACAATGGAGGATTCGGAAGTGGCTTTGGAGGAGTGAATGGAGGAAATGGCGGCTTCGGAGGCAATGGCGGCAGTCCGTCAAACTTGTACACCAACCCTTAAGATATTAGGGCTTGTGTAAATTAAGATATGTCTGCAGTTATTGTTTGTTAAATCTGATTATATTCAATAAATATGGAATTATATATTTCAGAAGTTTTCATTATCAACATAAGTCTTACGTTCCCATTAATATATATATATATATTTTCCACTCTGAGCATGTATATGATGTTCATTGGATGAAACAAACTTATTTGGTTAGGACCTGAAAAAAACACTTCTTAATTTGACGCACATGGATTATACATGACATTTATTCGTTTTGCTATCTACTGTCCCTCTATATGTTAATTTGTATTCCTCTTTCAAATTGTGTGTAACCGTGTTTGTTGCTTTGAGTGTAAATGTATTTATATATCCATGTCCTCTTTGTCATCATTTATTCCCTAGTGTTTGAATGTGTACTAGCTTTATCATTATATATATACATATACATGAATGTGTATTTACATATATATGGAAACATACATATGTATATAAATGTGTGTGTATATATATGTGTATATATATATATACACAAATATATATGTATGTATATGTATATAGCCTATATCGCAAGTATGAAGAGGTAGACTAACACACTCGTTAAGTTTTGAAATCAGGAAGCAACTAAAATTACTATTACTAAATAATTACCCTGAAATTAAATTCACTTTTGTCCTCACTAACACTAACAATATAGCCAAATTTTTAAAACAACCTTTGAGATGTAACTCTGACATGTGTTCTAACGTAGTATATTCATTCACCTGTCCTTGCTGCCAAGTTCGGTACATGGGATCTATCTCACGATGGTTACGACACCGCATGCTAGAACACAAAGGCAAATCCTTCAGGACTGGCCTTCCGCTGAGAAAACTATCCTTCTCGGCAATAAGAGAACACTCCTTACTCCATTCACACCCTTTCTCCAACTCAGATTTCAGTATTTTATCTTCCCATTCCTACCGCCCAGACCTTATCCTCTCGGAATCCTTACACATAGAAAAGATGAAACCCGAGCTAAAGAATGCAACCACCGCAATAACCTTGTCTATTCAATAGGCCTTCCCCCTCACCAACTCCCACTTTGGTTAGTCTTTTACCTTTTTGGTTATTTTAGTTGTTTTTTTCCGTTGTATACATGTTATGTTATTCCATCTTTATGTTTATATTGTATGTCGTTTTTTTTATGTTTTCATTACTTCTATGTATCTAATGTTCTCATTTATCTTAAGTATTTGCAATTTGTTTTAGAAACATAATTTTCGTATTAATTAATGTCTAACTGACTTTTTAATGGTTCTTTTGACAGTTTACTGATGATGGAGGTCTAGTTTATACCTTCGAATTATTTTTAAGTAAAGATGAAATTCTTCACGAGTGTGTTCGTCTACCTCTTCATACTTACGATACGACACATGAGCGGCAAACCTATCACAAAATATATGTAGTCTATATATAAGCATGCGTGTGCGTGTCTATGTATATACATGATATATATTATATATGTATATTTCTTTATTCATTTATACATAAAGATATATATATATATAAGTGTATATATATATATATATATATATATATATATATATATATATATATATATATATATATATATATATATATATATGCATATACATATACATATACTCACGCATATATACTGATATACATATATATATTATATATTATATTTCTACCATTATATATTATGTATAGCATTATATATATGTGTGAGTGCGCGGGCGCACTTATACACAGAAGCACATTATATATATATATATATATATATATATATATATATATATATACATATTTATATATACAAATATGTATATTTGCCAAATTAAGTATGTAAGTATGTACATATATATATATATATATATATATATATATATATATATATATAATGTAATTGCATATAAACATTACGCTTTGTAAGTTTCCTGTAGCATATTTGCATGCAAGTTCTAGTCATGGTAAGGTAAAACCTGACTTTTTATATTTAAATTTATTTTTCTTAAATTATCAATACTATAAATGGTTTATACCATTAGAACACCATAATATCAAATAATAAAATAAAACATTATATATAAAAGGTGAATGATAATGATTATGAATATAATAATAGCAATAATGACAAATGTTACAACAGTATTAAGAGAATAACTATTATAGTAGTAATAATGATAATGATAATAACGCCGTTAACAAAAATATTTTAATTAGACACACATTTACAAAGAAACACACACACACATATATAAATCAGTCTAGCTATCTTTCTTTCTCTCCATATGTGTGTGCGTGCGCGCACGCGCGCGTGGAGGAACTCAATAATAGTGATGTTGATATCAATAATAATAATGGTATTTTTTATAGTACTAATAACATTATCAGCATTAAAATGATAATAACAATTATAATGTTAATACAAAATATATTAACCCATTCGCGCCGGGTAAAAATGAACAAAAAATGGGGGAAATGCTGTGCTCATTTTTTATATTTTTTAATGAAATTTCTCTACACTAGATGGCTCTGCTTTACCTGATTTCATTTGGCGGGAAAATGTATTTTTACTAGTGCTATGAATATCGATGGTTATTTTTATTATAAACATTATAATTACTCTAATGTTATAAACATTAGTAACAGCAAATAAGATAACGCAAAATAATTTCGTAAATTAAAGAAAAGGGTAAACAGACGAGACAGGCAGTCACAACGTGCAAGTGAGAGCACATCGTCAATGTATTTGTAAACACTAAACAAGTAATCACAGTGGCGGCCGTCCGTATACGGACGCACGGCGCCAATGGTTACTTAATAGGCCGTCAAAGTTAAAAAGGTAGCTAGCTAGCTAGATAGATGGATGGATAAATAGATCGATAGATACATGTATGTAAAATTTTTAT